CGACTGCATGCCATCTGCTGTGTTTTGAAGCCCTCTGTCTTCTCATGCCTTGGTTGGCCGGCAGCTTTTCTCTTCATTTGTATCTCTGAGGTTTTAAGCTTTCAATTTAATTTAGGCTTTTCTTAAATTGGATAGACACAATTATATTTAATTGGCATTTTTCAGTTCAGAAGCCAGTGCTTTTCTTACTTGACTCTTCACAGTGATTCTTCAAAGTGGAAGTATTTTTTCCACTTCACAGGTAGGATGTCCAGGCTGACTTCCCTAAGGTTCTGGCTAGTTACCCATCAATCCTGAATCTTCAGCCTCTTCTCCTTTGCTCTGTGCTGTGTAACCATCAAGATCCGATTCAGCAGTGATTTTTAAAATACATGTTGAGATATCTCTGCGTTACCTTGAAGGTTGTTTGGAATACATTTGAAAGGTGGTATGAAAAATTAAATTAGCTTATCTTCATAACGGAAACTAAAATTAAAACAAAGCCAAAAGGAGAGTGTTCTGCCACCAGGACTCTGACTCCCTCTGCACCTGTGTGCACATTTGTTTTCTAGAAATAGATGAAATCATAGTTTGAGGTCAGTTCATCAGACATTAAGCAGTTGTTTTTGCATAAGTCACTGTCTTCGACTGGTGGTAGTGGAGAGGGAAACACACATTGAGTGGTAATATTGCATGGCATGACACTTGGGCCAGGTCTCAGGGAGTATGGCACAGGTGGGTTTTATAGCAGCCATGCTGAATGGAATTGATATATACTGACAGGCAGTGTTATTGGGATATATTAGTAAATTAGAGAATTAAAATTTGTACAGACTGAGTCCATTCATGGAAAAGACAAGCTATAGGTTTCCATGTAAGCATATATATGTAAATGCATAGAAAAAGGCTTGCAGAATAATACACCAAAAACTGAATTTGCTCTTGGAGTGAAAGAGGATAATTCACTGGAGAGACAGTTTCCAAATTTTCAGTGTTATTTGACTTCTCTACACAGAAAATGCCTTAAAATGTGATTTTTGTTTATGTGTGATGTAAAATGATGAAATGGTTTCCATAGGTGGAGATGTAGAGATAGGAACTTCTGAAAGAGAGAAAAAGAAAAAAAAAAAACATGAGCAAAGGCATCAGAATGTTAAAATGAAATAGTTTATTAGTATGTGGGTTTTCCACGGTGATAACAGGAGCGATGGCTTCATGTTGCTCACGTGGTTCTGAATTATTGGTTGCAAGAGGTTTTTAAGTGAATGAGGCAGAGCATCTGTAGAAGCCAAACGATTTGATGGGTACCTTAGCTGGAAACCTGATTGATTTTGCATGGGTGCCAATAAGACAGATGCTGCTTTGTGGTTATCTAGAGAATTTCTTTTCTAAGATTAGGTGATGTTTGCCAGGCCTGGGAGAATGGTGATCATTTTGTATTTTAGAAAGAATAGGCTCACAGCCATGCTGGTAGCTTAAAGTTAGTTCCTTTTTGGCAAGGTACACATATTCTGGTGAAATTAATGAAAAGAATTGTTAACCTCCAGACTGCTTGCTTTGGATGCACTTGGGGTGGCTTAGACATTTGGACAGACTGAATCGCTTTCTCTGATTGGATTTTGCATGCCAGTTAATGTCACATGCAGTGTGTGTGAGGCAGGTGGGCATGCATGCTGAGAGCAGTTTGGGATTTTAGGTTCTGATGTGATCGGTATTTTAAAGGACCAGTCCTGAAGTGTACCAGGGAAGTGTTTCTGGTATGGTTTGGAAGCCCAATAAAGTTTTTTCAAACTGAAGTTCTAAAAATTAACTTTCTCAGTTAAAAAAAAAAAAACTTTCTGAGTGAAAAATAATACTAAGAAAAAGATGATCTTTGGCAAATTCCTGTGCATTGGAGCTCCCAGCACAGGTGGGAGCTGCCTCCTCTGCTGGCCTGGAGTTGGGGCCCATTTTTCTTTGGAGTCATGTAGTGGGTCTTTGGTTAATGAAGGAGACCCTTTATTTTCTGGTGATTTGGCCTTATTTTTTGGAAGTGGAGTGAAGGCTCAGCATCAATGCTAGAGAGAGTATAACTATTAAAATCAAGATTACTTGAAAAATATGTATCTAAACTATGGAATACTTCTAGTAGTTTACCTTAAGTGGCACCAGGTTATGATAAAGATTTTGTGGCTTAGAATAACTAGGACCTTTTTCTTTAGAGCAAAAAATAGCACAATATAGCTCTGATTTGTATTGTTTCAGATTTTCTTGGAATGGCTAAATAATTTTTCTTTTTTACTCTATCAGCTTTTCTATTACATTTGGGTGGGCGGAGAAGGAGTTGCAGGAGAAAGGAAAAGAAAGATGAGTCAGAAGAAAATGGGTTGAGCCCATAAGGGACAGAGTTGCCTTGGAGGACTGAGGGCTTTCTTCTTCCTGTAACACCCACTGCCTGGGAACATACCTGCACCAGGCCTGTCACTGTGGAAACATGAAGCTTTTGGGATGGGACTAATAAATTTCAAACCCATGTGAGTTTTCAGGATCTTTAAAATGATGTAGGTTGTTACTGCAATCCATACATTAACATTTTGATGAAAGCAAAGAGTGAAAAAATGCAGTATTCCCAGAATGTAAACTTTTAACTGGAAAGGAACTCTTCTAGAATATACCTTTTGGCTGTTAGGAACAGGTGTGTAATTATACATTTGTGTTTTCAAACACTGTCCAAAGTGGAATTCCTGAAGCACCAATTTTAAGAAATGAGTGACACTTCATAAATGACATGAGTGGAGAAAATTTACAATATGCAAGAGTGATGATACTAGCTCACGTATTTTGAATTCTTGCTCTGGTCTTGACACAATCATAAATTTTTTAGGTATGCCTTCTCATTTTTTTTCACAACAACCTTATAAGATGGTGTAATTATCATCCTGTTTTTCAGGGGAAAGAAATCAAAGGTTAGAGCAGTTAACAGCTGGTGTAAATAGTGAGGACAGAATTCCTGCTCCGTAGGTGTGTGCCACTAATGAATATTGGTCATGGTTGGCGAGTGGCAAGCCAGAAATGACTCTTACAGGTGCCAAGAGTTGATGGCTAGATATTTTTGGTTTGTGTAAGCTGATTTGTAAACTTTGGTACATTGACATCAGCAATGATTGGGATATTTACACCACAGAAGCGGGCAAATGCTACAGGTCAAATGCATTTGTCTTTGAGCTGTTCATCATTTGAGAACGTATCACCTGGCCAGCACTGTTTCTCAGAATATATCTGACATGGATATGAATGAAATAAGTACTTTCTTAGACAGATTCTTTTTTCCCAAAAACATTTGTCCTCATCTGAAGAGGAGAGACTGTAATCAGTGTAGTTATAACTTAGAAAATTAAAGAGAATTCATTCTTCAGCTTCATAGCAGAGTCCCTTTTCAGGCTTCTAGTCTTTTAGCTGAGGAGGTTGGATGGCAGTGCCCTTCCTGGCTGCTGCAGGGTGACAGCAGTGGCTGTACCTGGGTTTGAGGGGATCCTTGACTTCTGAGGAGGAGTGGAAGCAGATCAGGTTGGGTGCACAGAAGCCCGTGACTGGAGGATGGAGGGCTGTGGAGAAAGAATGTCCCTTTGACAGCGACACATGGGTGCCTACAGGGTTTTTGGGTGAATCATTCCTGTGGCCTGGCTGTTGGCTTCATTTTTCACTACAAATAATTTCAGGGCCCTAGTCTTCATTCTTTCCTTGAAACCATAAAGCATCCTTCTTTACTAATGATTAAAAACATTCCAATGGTAGCGGTTTAATTAATAAACACTTTAAACATTATACATTGAAATTTTAATGCATTTTATCAACTTTCATTACAGTCCTTCCTGTACTGTGCATTTAGGCCAGCCTGAGCTACATAGCAAGCTCCAGACTAGTCTGGGATACATATCAAGACTCTGTCTCAAAAAAAAAAAACCACAAGGGCTGTGGATGTGGTTCTATGCTTGAGGTCTTGCCTAACATGGGTAAAGCCTTGGGTTTGATTTCCTCACACCAAAAAAAAATCTTCCTAGTGTTCTTTTTCATAGAAGAATAATTTTGCTTGTATTTTGTGCTGAAGGATATTTATAATGTTTTTGCTATTTTGCTATTTATAATGTTTTGACAATCTTCCTTGAGCTTGTTCCCACACCAAGCTGGACCACATACATTCTGGATCCTGTCAACTCAAGCAAAAACACACATGATCAAAAATGCATAGTTGGCTCTAACTTACCCAGCAGTTCCTATCCAGGTTCTGTCCATGCTTAGTAGTTACTTATTGAGATCGTCAGAACTTATGGGGTATTGATTGGACAGGAAGACTAAAGAAAGACGGGAAAAGGAAAAAAGGATGGAGGATGAGAAAATAAAATAATGAGTATAAGCACTGGATAGGAGGCAGGTTCCTACATCCCAACTTAGAGGCAAAATCTGACATCCAATGAGAGGAAGAAGAATTCCATCTTGCACAGAACAGGAATCTGTGTCAATGAACTTATTACACCAGTCCAGTTTTACATTTGCTTCGAGGCAAGTGTATTTCTCCATCCTGTAAATCTCATTGGCCAGCAGCTGATTGGAGGTTAGAAATGAATGCTTGCTTGTGAGTTGGAGAAATCTGGATTTTAATCCTGACTGGAAAATTTTGTAACTCCATGACTTTGGAAAAGTGGCCTATCTTCTCCATCCTCTCATCCCCACAGTGGTAGCAATAATTCTATCTGTGTGGTAGCAATAATTCTATCTGTAGGTGACCGCAGGAGCTATGAATAAATCTCCCAGTGGGATGTGTGTCAGAGAAAGTGCACCATAACTGAAACTGCTGCCTTCCACGAGTTTAAAAACTGTACTAAATGTGCATAGCAAGGACAGTGTGTCCTGAAGATGGGGAGCTCATGGTGAGAAGTGACAAAGACTCAATCTGTCTGTGAAGGCACCTGGAGTGCACAAAGGTAAACAGACATGGGTGTTTGACAAAGATGACAGACTGATGGCTTTCCCTCTCCACACAGAATGTCCCCCCGGACCTGTCCATCTGTACCTTTGTGCTGGACCAGTCCCTCTCGGTGCGCGCCCTCCAGGAGATGCTGGCCAACACGGTGGAGAAGTCGGAAGGGGCAAGTACCACTTTCTGTGATTGCAGTAGTGCAGTAATGAGCTCAGCTGTGGGGGATGAATGATTGCTCTCCTGGTGTCGCCATCTTCCTCTCGCTGAAATAAGACAGTGGCTTCTCCTTACGATTCATTCCCTTAGGTCTGACTTTCTGCTCTAGCTGGCTGACTCAGGGTCCAGTCTCCATGTGGTCTGTGTCAGTACATCTCATGTCTGTCTGTGGTTTAAAGCAGAGCCTTTCTGTGGCCATTTGTGTGTCTCCTTACACTTTTTTCAGCACTGTTAGTGTTACTGTTCTGACTAATTACTTTGTGCACAGCTGTTACTCATTGTCCTTGTTCTAATCTTCTTTATGGCAAATAAAATTTCATGGCACTGTTATGTATTTGAAGTGACAAAATTATGATGATACTTAGAGCTTTAGTTAATTGTAATTTTGCAAAGACCTAATCATTTTTCTGCTGAAAAGTGAAATTTCTATTCTATTTCATAATGCAGATATTTTTCTTTGAAAGACTATTTGGTAATTTTAATAGTTTTCCATGAGACATGCTATTAGTGAATGCTGGGCTATTACCCATGCCCAACCAACTCATTAAAATTTAGAATTAACTAGGAAGATAAATGATCAAATTTTTGTTTCCTATTTTTTTGAGCACTCTAATTACTGCATTGTTGCATAGTTTAGTAAACTCTGTGGTTTCTAGTAATATAACCGAAAATTGTCTTTCGTCATTCTTGATCTACATATGGTTGTTATTGTTGAGTTATTGCTCCAGTTTCGATAAGTAAAGATATTAAAAATGATAACACATGGTTCCATACAAATGGCTAATCAATTGTAATATAATATACTGTTTTTCATCCCCTATAGTTTTTAAATTTTTAGTGTCACACACTTTAGAATTTTAATTGGCTTATACGTTCATTTTTAATTAACTTTAAATTTTAGCATTCAATTAAATATGGAAGGAAACTTGAGTGATTTTTATTTGATATTAGACTGAAAGCTTCTTTTATAAAACTCCAAATATGTTGTGTGTATTTTAACATTTCAAATTCATTTTTGGTGGTAGAAACTATTTTACACTAACATGCAAAATTTGTCCTTTCATGCTAAGTTTTTTAGGATAGACTTAAATTAAGAAAGAGTCAAAATTTCTCAATGCAACCAGTCAATTTGCCCAAAATTTTATTTTTCATTTTTTATTTTTAGATTGCTAAGAGCTTCTCCTAAATTTAACAACTTTGAAAAAGATCTTTTATTTCTGTAAATTATGAGGTTGAACTAGGCAACCTCTAAATATTCCATGAATATAGGAAATGATTGGGAATAACATTTTAGGATTTATGTTTTTAAGATATTCATTAATGAGAATTTCTAGACACCCCCCCATACTTTTATTTAGCTGAATTAAATTTTGAGTTGTTCCCTCTAGAAAGTTTCTGTCTATGAGATGTGTGGAAAATGGTAACTTATATGACATGTGGAACACCATTTTATAAAGCCTACAATAGCTACCACAATTCATTGATTAAGAGGTAGAATTTGCGAAAAATCCACTAAAGGAAAGAAATATATTTCATGGTGCTGACTCTTACTTTCAGCTACTATCATTCTGTCAAATAGCTCATTTGAATTTTAAGAAAAAAATTTTAGGAAAAAGATTCTCCCTTAGACTACTGAACACTTACAATTATATCCAGGACTGATATTCAGTATATTTTAAAAATGCTTTGCATGGGTATCAGTTAATCAGAGTGGCTCCCAGATGCAGTGCTGGATGTGGAAGGAGTTGGGGTGTCCTGGAGGACCTGTGGGGTAATCCAGGTTACTGAGCACTCCTGGGGCTTGGGCAAGAGACACAACTTTTCTCCATTTATTCATAAACATGTGTACCAGCTAAATCTCATGTCTGATGATATGTGATTAGTGCATTCTGGCATCTCTTGTAGGAATTAAGTCTTTTGGACTTCTTAGTCATATACTCTTTTCTTGTATGTCACAATGTCTCCTTTAAACTCATATGGGATGCTAATGGCAAGACCTTTTATCAAGCAATTTTTTTCCCAACATTATGGGCAGTAGATTTGCTGAAATTAAAGTCCCCTTTTCCTACGATGACATGTATCAGCAAGGCAATGCTAATTTTCCATGAAATTATTTCTTTCTTTACAAATTAGTAGTGCATAAAAACCTGCATATCAGCTGATTCCATCACTTTCATAATCAAATTTCTTTACAAAGCTTTGTTCTTTTTTATTTAATAATTCTTCCTTTTGCAGTTCAGTAAATTGAAAAACATTGATTCTGTTTAATGTCCAAGGTGCTGTGATGTGCATATGGTCACATAAGCACACTTGGTATCCACATGGAAAAGCTTTCTATGTATAAGCATGCCTTTGCTTTGTGTGGTTAAGAACCAGTTTGTCTTGGGTCTGTGAATAAATGCATGTTTTCCATAAAGGTAAAAGGAAACCCAGCAAAATGCTCTCAGCATTATTTGTGACAAAGCAAATCATGAAAACCACTGATAATAAAAGAAGAAGCACTGTGTAAGATGAAACAGGAAGATATGCCTAATTTATGAAGTTAGTTCCCCAAAGAGTTGCTTATTGTGGCTATTTGTGAAATGCTCTCATGAAACCAAAGGCATTCTGAAATATTTCATTTAACAGGATTTTCTGTTTAATAGAAAAATGTATGATAAATCAGAGCTCTAGATCTGATATATAAATATATATGTATATATATGTATGTATGTATATTTCATTGAATGTCATTTAGCCTCTTTTTTTTTTTTTTTTTTGGTACTGGGGTTTAAACTCAAGGCCTTGCACTTGCTAAGCAGAGCTCTACCACTTGAGCCAGATCTCAGCCCTTTTTTTGCTTTGGTTGTTTTTTAGATATGGTCTTGTATTTTTGCCCAGGGCTGACCTCATACCACAGTTCTCCTATGCCTCCCAGTAGTTGATATGACAGGCATATACCATCACACTCAGCTCATGATTGAATAAGGGTTTTGCAGACTTTTGACTTATAGGCTAGCCTCGTGTGTCAGTCCGTCCTCCTGATCTCTACCTCCCGAGTAGCTGGGATTTCAGGTGTGAGCCACCATGCCTGGCACCATTGAACCTCGGTTCTTATTCAAAGCTTGTCAACAGTCAATGGACCAGCTGTTGTTTATCTGAATAGCTGCTCACTGAACCTTTGAGATCTGAGGATGGAGACATACCTTAGGGCATCAGAACATGATACCGTCCCTTGCATCTTTGTGGCCCAAGTTTGCATGGACTTCTGTGTGTGCACAGTACACTGTGTCATTCTAATAAAATCCTTGACTGTTTTAGACTTGTACTCTGAGGGTACTCAAAACAACATCAGAAAGCTACCTACTAAATTTACTGGTAAATGAGTTTTTTGTAATACATTTTTAAACCTTGAAGCACCATAGCCGAGTTCTTTACAAGTTCGTTTATCGAATCTCAAGGCTCCAGTTTCAGACAAGGAATTGCATCAAAGATTATTTTATAAAAGAGTAAGAGCAAAAGACAAAATCAAGAAGTGTGATGCTGTATCTCACAAGTGGTTAGACACATTGACTCCATAGCAAACTCCCCAAGTTCAGCTCCTGGTAACACAAGACAAGCAATTTGGCCTTTCTGTGCCTCAGTTTTCATATTTCTAAAGTTGGCAAAATAATAGCATTTCCTTCACAAAATTGTGATGAGAATTAATAATATATGCCCCATGTGTAGGTCAACACCAGCCCATAGGATGTGCTATGGGTGTGTTTTCATCCTTCTGTAGAGTCCTACATGGAGTCTGCCTGGGTAAGCTCCCATCAGATCTGATCCCCCAGGACCTCAAGAAAACAACTATAAACTGAACCAAATCTAAAAACAAACCAACCACTACCATCCCCACCACCCAAACTCCTAATTACCTGAATGTTTTAGACTGATTTTTATGGCCATTGTAACAAATTTTGACCAAGTTGGTAGCTGAAACCACCATAAACTTATTGTCTTGTAGTTCTGGAGCTCACAAATCTATTATATCAATTTGTTTTATTGTGCCTGGTAGGAGTACATTGTCATATTTACAAAGCTTCTTAAAATATATCAAATATATCATACTTGAATTCACCCCCTGCATCATTTTCCTCTATTCCCCCCTCCCCCCATTCCTGGAATAGTTTCAGCAAGTATCTTTTTCCCACTTGCATACTTGTGTACTCAGTATTTGCACAATATTCACCCTCCTTCACCATTTCCCCCCTTCTCCCCCCTCCCACTGGTATCACCCCCCTCTCCTAGGCAGGGCCTGTTTCTCCCTCCTGTTCTCTGATTTTGCAATAGAAAGGAAAAAGACATGACATTTTTACTTGTTTAAGATAGCTGCGCAGAGAGTTTCCTCTTGGCACTTCCATATGTATATGTATTGTAACCCGATTTGGTTCATTTCTTTTATTTTTCTTCTTTCTGCTTTAGTCCCTTTCTTATGTTTGTTTCAATCAGTTTGAAATTTCTGTATTCATTCTTGTATAGAGAATTGTGAGCTAAAATAAAGGTACTGGCAGCTTTGCACTTAATCTAGGGGCCCTGGAAAGAATCTGTTCTGGGCATTGCTTGCTACATTCTTAACTGGGGTCTGTCGCTTATCTTCAAAGCCAGCAGTGTACAGCATGTCACATGCTCACAGTTCCAAGGATTAGGACGTAGGCATCTTTCACATGCTTTTACTGACTTACCACCTCATGAAAGCACCAAGATTCAGTAAGATCTTTTTGGTGAGACCAAGTGAAAAATCTGAGCAGTCTGGTAGCTGAATCTAGCCACCAAATCTATTCTGATTTGATAGGTGCCTGACTTCCCTGCAAACAAAAGAATGTTAATTTCAGTCTATCAGTCTATGTTCAGTCTATCTTTGTAGATTCACCTATTTTGCATTTAAAAGACTTTATTCTTTGAAGGTTTTCTGAGTTTTCAGTCATCACTCTT